TGGTGTCATGCAGTCTGCCCTCCCTACATCATGAGTACAAATACCCAATTACCAATAAATATGTATATATATTTTTGTATGATACAGTAATAAACCTTGCAAATTTGCTTTTTCAAAAAAATCCTGTTTCACAATAGATCAAACCAATAATTTCCAGATTTTGGAATTTCACAGACTGGGAAAATTACCAATTTTTTTGGGGGGTGGGGGAAACTGACATAGGGTTGTCAAATATATATGTTTTGCCAAATGAAGAAACTATAAGGGAAAATGTCCCTTAGAATCTATTATCAGAATGATTTCATGAAAGAACATCCTTATAGTTAATATATAGGTTAATCAGTATGATTTACTGATTTATTTGCCTTGCTTTTCTGCTTACATCCTAACTTTTTCTGTCTAGATTTAATATAAATCTTTTAAATGACATCTTTTAATGTTTCAGTGAAGATCTGTGAGCAGCTAACTCTCTTAGTCATGGAGATGGTGAAGCACAGTGATTAATCAAACCATGGAGTCTAGATTAGAATGCCTGGGCTTAAATCCCGATTTGGCTATTTACTAGCTGTGTGACCTTGGGCAAGTTACCTTAACCTCCCTGTATCTTAGTTTTATCATCTCTAAGATGGTTATATTAACAGTATCTACCTCAGAGGGTTGTGGAGATTACTGAGTTAAAATATTTATATAGCACTAAGAGTAGTACCTTGTACGGTTATATAAGTATTATATAAGTGCTTGCAATAATTATTCTGTGTATGTCAGACAATGTCCATATTTTACCCTCATTCTTGACTTAGTTTATTTTATCATGGAGTTTTGTGTTGACCATTATTGCTTTCAGTATTTTTGTGATATTACTCCATTGCTGCCTTGCATCCATTGCTGTGAATGAAAAGTCTGCTGACATTGTGGTTGTCTTTCCTTTATGGGTAAGAGCTCTTTTATCTCTGATTTGTTTTTAAGGTTTTTCTATTTACATTTGATATTCTGTGATTTCACTATTATGTATCTATGTGTGGATTTCATTTTTCTAGTTCAAAATTTATTTTTCTTCTTCAGATTGAAAACTCACATCTTTCTTTAATCCTAGAAAATGCTCAGTCATTGTATAAGTTAGGAGTAGAATTTGCTACAAGTGATTAAAGAAAACAACAATCCTAAATCCGAGTAGTTTATACAAGATAGAAGTTTATTTCTTTCTCAGACAGATTAGGCCATCCAGGAGTGTTTGATGATGTCAGGGGCTGAAGGATCCTTGTATTTTATTGCTCCTCCATTTTCAGCAAGATGGCTAAAACCTTAAACTATCACAGCTGCATTCCAGCTACTAGGAAGAAAATAGTGCCTACATCCTCCCTTCAAGGACATTTTTAGAAGTTGCACATGCTGCTCAGGTTATATCCCAGAACATAGTCATATAGTCAACCCAGCTACAAGGGAAGCTGAGAAATAGTGTCTTTTTTCTGGTCAGCCAAATTTCCAGCTAAAAATGGGTGATTTTATTAGTAAAAAAGAGGGGATGACTGGCTATTGGGAAACAAGTAGTAGTCTCTATCATAGCCATTTTCGTTTCTCATTTTTTCTCATGTTCCTTGTATTATATCCTTCTGGAATGCTTAATAAAATTCTATTCTCTGTCTTCCTTTTAATATTTTAAACATCTTTTTGTATTGTATTTTGTGAGATTTCTTAAGTCCTATCTTCGAATTTACTGATTTTCTCTTAAGCTATGTTTAATCTACTGAATTAAGTTTTTTAAAAATTAGACATTTTAAACTATATAATCTCTATAGCTTCACTTTCAAATGTGCCTATTTTTATGGTGTTCTGATCTTCCTGTATACTTTTTATTTACTTTAAAAAGAAATGAGGTTTAATTGGCTCATGGTTCTGCAGGCTGTTCAGGAAGTATAGCACTGGCATCTGCTTGGCTTTGGTGAGGCCTCAGGAAGTTTACAATTATGGCAGAAGGCAAAGGCAGAGCCAGTGTATCACATGGTAAGAGCAGAAGCAAGAGGTTTCTGTATACTTTTTATTCTCTTATGTCCTGAGTCATTTTAAGTATACTTACTTTATATAGTCTGTTTGTTCTATTGGCTGTAATTCTTGGCATATGAATTCTGCTAACTCCTTTCCTGGGAAGTTTTTGTTCTTGTCTCTTGTGTTTTTGTTTTTAACCATCTCATCTTGGGATTTTCCACATTGTCTCATGTGTGGAAGCTTATTAATTGTCACTATGGGGCAATTTCTTATTTGTTTTTAACAGGGTTCTTCGAGTTCCCCTGGTTCAAACCAGTATTTCTGTTGCTTTTCTTGGTTTGGATTTCCTCTTCATGAATGCACATTGGACCCCACTCCTATGCATAGCTTGGTTTGGTAGGTGTGTCATCTAGGTGGTAATGAATCTACTACTTCCCCTAATTCCCAGGCTAATGGGAGGAGATAGCCCAGAATTATTTTCACAGCAGCAAATCTCTTCTAGGATCCTGGCTCTTTGCACAGCTCCCAACTCCACTGCACCTGGGGCTTCCACTCCCATTCCAGCTCAGGCATTGAAATCTCAGCCCCCAAGTTCATCCTCTGATTCCAATTCTGCAGTTGCTTATTTAGTGTCACCTCTAGCTCATTGCTTTTTTGTGTTCTCTCCATTTCTGGCACCTGAGGATTTTAATTTCTTGTTTTAGTGCTTAGTTGTATATTTCAAACGTTTCTGTTATATTTTATCCAACATTTATCTGTGTTCGGAATGATCGGTGCTTCCAACATCAACGTAGTCCATTACAGTGGTAAGGAATCTAACAAAGAGTATTTTAAATCCCAAAAAGCAGTAAAGTTGCAGTCTCTTCAATAAAATAATTGAAGTTATTTGTCTTGGTGCTTCCTTATACTATCCTTGTTTTTTCATTTGTTATGGGCCAGCATTGCCCTGATGGTTAACATCTGGGAATTAATGGACCAGTTACTGAGAAACTTTGGATCTGGTCCTAGTTGCTTGCTAACTGCAGATTTGGGGAAATCATTTACATTCTCTGTAAGTAGCTGTGAAATGCAATTATTATTTGCCCTGCTTCATAGGATTATTATAAGAGTCACATAAGATAATAGATTTTAAAATGCTCCAATACTTAACATATATAAATTTATGCTATTAATAGTGATGTTAGAAACCATTAGCACCTTCATTAAAGTATTTTTGACTTTAATAATAAATGATGGTTTTTGTTTTTGTTTGGTTTTATTTTTTCTTTTCTTTTCTTTTTTATTTTTTGTAATTTGAAAAATGATTTTGTATCCTGGTAAAGGCTATCATTATTTGGAAGTACTTAATGAGGGAACTAGTTGGAAACATTCAAATATTCTTGTGAAATTTAAGAGCACTATTTGTACTGACAGGCAGTTATGACTTTAATAGACTATGGAATTCATTTTGGAGAGAGACACCCTTTGCAGTTAAAAAAGCATAGAGAATTAAACCTGGAAATCATCATTGCATTTTATTATACATTTCCCACACAATGGATACTGAAAGTTCAATGACTTTCAGTCATTGTGAGGAACCATAAACTTTTTACTTTAATGAAGAAAAGACGCCTTTATATTTGAAAAGATTGAGAACCAACCTAGCCTGTGGTAGGAACCACTAACTGGGCTGTATGACCCCAGACCATTCTCCTCTAACTAAATTATGTGGGGGACACAAGGACTGTGTCAGTCTTCAGTGACATTTGTCAGTCAACTATGAAGTCTGTTGCAGAGAATGTGTTACTTCCTAATGGTTAAAGTACTGAGTTTGCAAATGATTTAGAAAGAAAATTAGAGATTGACTCAAGCTGGTGGACTGATCATACACAGCTGCTCCCTGTTGCCCTCTAAAGTCCATAAAATGAATGTAGATCAATATAGATAATGAAATCCATTTTAATAGAATTAGAAAACAGGGAAACTTATCAGAAAAAAACATATTTTTAAATAAATTTTGAAAGATATTACCAAAGAACTCATGTTTGGAAGAACAAAACTAAAGGAAACAAAAGCCTAACATGTAGAGATGACCTGATGGTAGGTCTGATAGAACTACAAGCCTAGAGTCAATGAATATGAAGAGGTAGAAGAGGCCCTGGGCCATTTATCAACTTGAAAAATTAGGGAACTGCATGTGGAGCAGCAAACCAGTTATCCCCTTTCTCTTCTCCTGCTGTGTTAAGCCAGGGTAACTGTGGCATGAATCAAATCATAGACTGGGGCTGGAGAAGGAGGGTAATGCCCAAGTAGTTACCGACTGCCAGGAAGACCAAAGAGCTCATCAGACAAATCATCTTCAGATCCTGTTTACATCCCAAACTTGTCCCAAAGTCAGGCTATAGTCAACAGAAACATTTTATACTGATAATAACCTGGAAACCTTACAATAAAAGGAGAGTAGACAATTAAGAGACCCAAAGCATTTGGGAAAAAGTACAATACCCAGAGTGTGAGGTTCACACTCAACAGACAAAAGTTAATAGAATTGAGAGAGCAAACAAAACATTTTAGGCATAACTACAATATCCTAAGAGAGATGATCATATCCATTATAGAGGAAGAGTCAGGTATTGAGGAAACATGTATAGACATTAAATATATACCAAGTTTAATAGATGGTCAAATACTAAGTTTCATCAAATGATCTGGCATACCAATGGACAAGGCTGAAAAGCAAATTAGTAGAAAGTGGAAGGGAATTCTTGCATTACTTAGTGGTGAAGTACCATGAGAAAGATAATGACAGCCAGGCACGGTGGCTCATGCCTGTAATCCCAGCACTGTGGGAGGCTGAGGTAGGTGGATCAATTGAGCTCAGGAGTTTGAGAACAGCCTGGCCAACATGGCAAAACCCTGCCTATACTAAAAATACAAAAATCAGCCCAGTGTGGTGGTGTACACCTGTAATCCCAGCACTCTGGAGGCTGAGGCTGGAGGATTGCTCGAACCTGGGAGGTAGAGACTGCAGTGAGCCGAGATCAAGCCACTGCACTCCAGCTTGGCTCTGGAGAGACTGTCTCAAAACCAAACACCACACATACACACACAGACAGATAATGAGAGACATAGACGACAGATCCAAGTGTTCTAACATTTAGCTAACAGCTGTTCCAGAAAGAGGGAAGAGAAAGAATGGAAGGGATGGAAATAACAGAAAAAGCAACATAATAAAATTTTCTAAGGTAGAAAAAAACCAAGGATTTTCAAACTGAAAGTGTTTTAATGCTTTTATCTCCAGTTTTGAAATTATATGTTTTAAGTCTTTTATCTCCAGTTTTGAAATTACAGTTATTCTTTTGCACTGCAGACTCTTGCTCAGTTTGGTTTTCTTCTTGGTGTGATTTGTAATTTTTGTTTGTGGCTATCTTTAGCAGGGATTCCTTTTTTTGTGCTGATTGTGAAACTGTCTCTCCAGGGGCGTTTTGCATTTGCTTTTGTCAGGTACTTCAGTGGTATCACCAGCAGGATTTTTTTGGTTTTGTGTCCTAAAAGAAGTCTTACATGTAAATTTATATTCCTAACTGGAGTGTGCTACAAGCTTGGGGTTTTACTTTTTCACAAAGAGTTTATTCACTATCCATAGCTCCAGGCAGAGGCAAAATTTCTTGCTATCTTCCTGGTTATATGAGTAGAGTGGAGTCTGCCTTGTACTGACAGGCCAGTCATTCGAGAGTTCTAGCTTTATGCAGATTTCAATTCTATCTTTCTACTTTGGAAGACATAAGGTTCCATCCCTGTTCCAATGAGGATAAAAATTCAAGTCCCTAGGTTTTAAGATCTTTTTCCAAACATGCTAACAACCTCTCCCTTCCCTGCCCTCATGCCAAAACTTGCATTCTTATTTTTCTAATTTTATAGTAGTATACCTATGCTATTGAAGAGTATGGAGCTATTAAAATAACAAGGTAGCCTACATGTGTTGACAAGGAAAGATCTCCAAAATATATATTGGAGATATATATGTGGCAAGAACTAGAAGTCCCCAACACAAAAAAATACATAACAATGATATTCATTATTTTGCAATGTATTACAATTTCTTTAATGGAGAATAAAGGGATAAAGATATAGCTGTAGTCTTATCAATACTGCAGATAATAGTGAGCAGCTGATATTCCTCCATGGAAATTTGTAAACACTCTTTATAGCAGAGGAATACTACACCTGCTTCCACTTGTATGCGATATAACATATCTTATAATACATCGCGGCACACAAAACACACCAAATTGGAAGAAGAATTAATCCGTACCAAACTCATCCAAAAAGCAAGGTGGAATTAATCCTTACCAAACTCATCCAAAAAGCAAAGGCTGAGTTGGTGTTAGAAATGATCTGAGTAAAAAGAAAACAATTTAGAAAATACTTCAATATTCTAAGTACCCACACGTCTTTGAATTAAGTGTGTATGTGTCTGCGTGTGCATCTTGTACTGGCAGGAGTATTTTTAGATTTTCACACTCTTAATTATATATGGAGGAGTTCTAAGTTTTAGAATAAGGAGGAAAATTTAAATATATAAGAGAATATTATCCTTAAATTGAAAATTGAATTATAGTAGCAGTGATGATATGATTACATTGACCACTTATTGATCAATGTGCATAATCACATCCTCAATCATCTTATGAAGTTGCTATTTTGCTAATTTTACAGTTGAAAAAACTGAAGTCTAGAGAGGTTAAGTTACTTACGCAAGGTCACACAGCTCAAGGAATGAAGTAAAGCCAACATTACAACTCTGTTTGATTCCAAAGCTCTGTTTGATTCCAAGAGAGGCCCTGTTACACTTACATCTACCAGGGCCTCTCTTCTAAAAGTCTTATTATATTTGTTAATTATGTTCATTTGTTGTGCAAAACAAAGTTGTGTTTATAAAGAACGTGACGTAGAAATAATGTCTCACTCCACTTATTGGAGACCACACTTATTAATAACATTTGGTTGTATTTTAATTGTCTTTTTTCTCTTTTTCCATTTACATAAATTGTATGTTCTGAAGTTACTGATAGCAGAAAAGTAAATGTGAGGGCCAAGATGATGATTGTGAAATTTCCTCATATTCTAGGGATTATAGTTTTATCTGAAGAAGGTAATTTATTCTGATTTTTTAATGGGTGGATTTAAAGGCTTGTGCCTAGTGAAAAAGAGCATCTCCTACAGTTGTTCGAGTGGCGCCTGCGATCTTTTCTCTGCTCTCAGGACTGCTGGGACATGCCTTGGCTGCCTGTCTGACGTCTCTTTCTGATAAGTGAGTTTTAGTCTCTAACAGCTCTTGGGAATTTTGTTGGCAGAGACCTGGTGAGATCATTCTGCTTTCCGCTGAGCTTCCTTTCTCTGTTTTTTCGGACTGTTCTGATGAACGTGACCCTGGAGCGTTCAGTACTACCTCTGTTCCTTTAGGAACTATTGGCCTACTCCCTGGTTTTATCTCTCTGTGTACAAAAGCTCCATGTCTCTGGAAAAGAAAACAAAGTAGACATTAACCAGGAGAACACAGATTGCTGGAAGATGCAGCTGTGAACTGAGTTTGTGGGTTAGCTCAAGTCCTAGTCAGTGACGCAGGCACTTCTCTGCCTCTTCACTGGTGTCACCTTAGTCCCAAACGAGACACCACCATATATGGGTGAACCTTTTAAATTATAAAATAGGGTACATCAGAAAATGAACAGGAAGGAAAAAAGCAGAAAATCAAAGAAGCAGCAGCTCATCTCCCATTCTCAACTTTTTTATCATTTGGACTGTATAAGACTATTTACATCAAATTTCATTTCTTGCTCTAAAGATTGCTATGGATACAACAAAAACTACAGTTCATAGACCTAAGAATTTATGATTGCATCCCAAATGCCTATTAATGCTAATGAACAGATAAGTAATAATGAAATATGAAAGCAAACATCTATAGTTGGAAAACAATCCAATAATTGACAATGACATTTCTATTTGGCTTTATAAACTTTATATGCATCTCCCTGCCACACACATGTATTAAGCATATCAAAACATTTGTCAAACTGCTTTAATATTATTATTATTATTATTAGAAATGGGCCTTGCTCTGTTGCCCAGGCTGGCCTCAAACTCAAGTGATCCTCCTACCTCAGCTTCCAGAGTAGCTGGGACTACAGGCATCAAGTTACTGTACCCAGCATGCCTTGATTTTTTTTTAATGCAAATTATTTCAATAATTTAAGTAGACCAAATTCCAAAGACTGATTCAAATGTTTAGATTGATTGATTGAGATGAGGTTTCATTGTGTCACCCAGGCTGGAATGCCGTGGTACAATTATGGCTCAGTGCAGCCTTGAACTCCTGGACTCAAGCAATCCTCCCACCTCACCCACCTGAGTAGCTGGGACTACAGGTGGCACCACCATACCAGGATAGTATTATTCCTCACATTTTACTATGGCATGTGGCTAAGATTCTAGCCTATTAATAACTACAGTAGTTTGTTTAAATAGACATTTAGAAAGATAATTATGACTTGAAAAGGCTTAAAGTTCTATAAATCTACTCTGTCTTAAAGTATTAAATAATTCTAAATACTGTCTCACCTTTCCCCGGAGAGGCTCGTTCGGAGTTTTTCTGGCGTCATATTGATGTATAAAAGAGATATATTCTATAAAATTGTTTTGAAGTTCTGCTGATGCACCAGGAAAGGCAAGTGGAACTGAAAAAAAGATTTTGTGAAGTCAGGACAAAAAATTAGATTTGTTTATGGAAATATAATCAGTGTTAATAATATTCATACTTTATAAAATATGGTAACAAAACTAAATTCTTTAAGTATGCAAGATTATTTATACACATCTAAATAATAAATAGAATGGATTCACCATTCTTTCTTCATGAAAGGAACCAAATCAAAATAATCAAATTAGCCCCACATGTGGAATTATTAGTAATTTTTAAAACTAAAATTAATATTAATATAATAATATGGTCAGGCATGGTGGCTCATTCCTGTAATCCCAGTATGCCTTGGGAGGCCAAGACAGGAGGATTGCTTGAGCCAAGGAGTTTGAGGACTAGCCTGGGGAACATGGTGAAACTTCATCTCTACAAAAAATTATCCAGGCATGGTGGCATGTGCCTATAATCCCAGCTATTTGGAAGGCCAAGGTGGGAGGATCACTTGAGCCCAAAAGTTCAAGGCTGCAGTGAGCTATGACTGCACCACTGTTCTTCAGCCTGGGTGAAAGAGAGATCTCGTCTCATTAAGAAAAAAAGACTTTTAGATATGCTTTTTACACAGATACCAATACGTTTTAGGGAAAGCACAACTATATTTTGTTAACTTTTCACTACTAGAAAGAGTATGAAAAATTCTCTGTTGAATCTATAGTTTGGCCAGTGGCTATGGCCATGGACTAGAAATTGTATGCTGAAGCTAGCACTAATGGAATCCATTGGAAGACTCTAGGGCTGCTGCAGTTGTAGTTGAACACATAATTCTTTTCGTTTCACCCAATAACAGGGGTTCTGAAAAATTTGCAAGAGTATGAAATCCTTTAAAAATCACTTTTAAATAATCTTTCAATCTGGTTGATGAGTATATTAGTTCATTATATTGGTCTCTGTTCCATGTATGTTTAACATGTTAAATAATTTTTAAAACTCAGTTTTACTTTCAGCAGAGAAGGTTATTTAAAGAATCGGAGCAACTTTCAGTACTGTTGCTGGCAATAAAAAGAGTTTAGTGAAGTAAAATTCTATCAAGGACAAAAATTTCTCCCTTAAAAAACATGTATGTGGCCGGGTACAGTGGCCCACGCCTGTAATCCCAGCACTTTGGCAGGCCGAGGTGGGCAGATCACAAGGTCAAGAGATTGAGACCATCCTGGCCAACATGGTGAAAACCCGTCTCTACTAAAAATACAAAAAAAAAAAAAAAAAAAATTAGCCAGGCGTGGTAGCGAACACCTGTAGTCCCAGCTACTCAGGAGGCTAAGGCTGGAGAATCGCTTGAACCTGTGAGGTGGAGGGTGCAGTGAGCCAAGATCGTGCCACCACACTCCAGCCTGGGTGACAGAGCAAGACTCTGTCTCAAAAAAAAAAAAAAAAAAGTATGTAAGAGTTTATGTACACCTAATGTATCTATGAAATGCTATGTAACAAACTGGTAACAGTGGTGACTGTAGGGAAAGAGAACTGGGTGACTGGAGGACACAGGTGGGGAGAAGTGGATTCAGTTTTCACTGTATATCTTTTTGTACCATTTGAATTTTGTGCTATATGCATATATTAACTATTAAAAAATTTTAATTTTTAAAAATCACACCTTTAAAATTAGAGGAATACATAAGAAAAATGTTAGTAAACTTACATTTATTAAGCATTCATGAATTCACTTTGATATTCAGACATTGTTATGAGCTAACTTTATTAGCAAGAATGATGAGTATTCGAATACTTATACATTACATGATACAAAATGGCAATCTTTTCCCAGTTAGCAGTATAAAAAAAAGTTAACTGTTAACATTTTCTTGATTTCTAATTGCAATCGACTGCTCAAAACTCATTTGCTACTAAATCATTACCTTTCTTTTAAGACTTGCTAGAACACAGAAAAAGGCATTGCAAAGATTTAATAAGCATGACACAGAGAAAATTCTATGCATAACTTACTTTCTACCAAGTGGGAAAAGATGACCTTTTTTTTTTTTTTATGAATATCATGGTCCAACTTACAGAACATTAGTATGTTCGGACACAGTTTCATAACTTCGTGGATAGACAGAATGAAGCAGCTCTAAATTTAGGCATTAATTAGGTGGTGGTAATGAAATATCCAAAGCATGCATTTGGGAATAAGATAGTCATGTTTTCGAATTCTGGCTTTACCACATTTCTTAGTTGTGACTTTGAAAAAAATCACTGAACTTCATTGAAATTTTCTATTTCCTCCTCTCTAAAATGAAGAAAATAATAATTTGCTTTTGGCATTGTGAAAATTAAGGGCAGCGTTTGTGAAGTCTCTAGGATGCCATGGTCAAATTATGGAGTCTTCAAAGTTAGCAAAGGGCCAGCTCTTTTGTATCCTGACAAAAGGGGAAACCATGGAAGAGAGAAGGAAGCAGGAACCGGAGCTATCAAAAAAACTGTGAGAAACCCAAACGCTTTAGTGAGCTGGTATGAAGGGTTAGTTGCAGTTTGGGCTGGAGGGTAGGAAGGTCAGATGTAGCCAAGAGAGAATAGGTTGGGGGAGAGCTTTTAAAATCTGCTCTTGACTTTCCCTCACATTGCCTTGGGAAGATCATGCTTGCCCAGGGCCACAGAAACTGGCAGCAACTGCCTAGTCATTTGTTGTCAACACAGTCATATCAGAAGAGCACAGAAGTCCCTCCAGGATAAGGAGCTGATGAAAATGGGTACATGCTGCCCCCTTGGGCATTTCTCCCTCCAACATTCCCCCAGCAACCATCAATGCTGGTGAATTAAAAACATCAAGATACTGCCTTCTCTCAGTGACGCTTTTTTTAAAAAACAGTTTAAGGCTGGTAGGGTGGATTCCTGACTAGAGGACCAGCCTAGTAGAGTGACAGTAATTAACAATGGTCAAAATAGGGTTTCTGGTACCAGAAGCTCTCCAGCCTGAGCCTCATTTTCTTTCCTTAAATTTAGTGGCAGGCACACATACCAGACCCTGGTCTTCAGCCTTTGCCTGCAGAGGGCTACTGATTCCCCTAGGGGGGAACATGACCTACCATAAATTTGACTATAAAAGACAGAAAATTTTAAAACATATACTGTGTGAAGCAGAATTATCAGAACCAACATACCAAGAATTTAAAATAAGCATAACAAATATCCTCAAAGATACAGAAGAAGGTATTGTTAATATGAACAAGAACAGGTCATAAAAAGGAATAACATAAAATGTTAGAAATAAAAAATGTAACAGTTGAAACAAGAAAATAGATGGTCTAAACAACAAGAATCACGAACTAGAAAAAATAAGACTGAGAAGCTGTCCCAGAAGGCAGCAGGAAAGGATAAAGAAATACATTAAAGAAAAGTTCAAAGGCATGGAAGGTGGAAGTATCAACACCAGAACTAAGAAGAAATAGAGGGAAGGGAAGGAAATATTTGAGAAAATGATGATGATATATATCGAAGAATTAAAGAAAGATCAAACACCTCAGATTGAAAGAGCTCACAAAATATCAAACAGGTAGCAGGGGCTGGAGAAAGATGAGGCAATGAGGCACAAAGGATGCAAAACTTTAAGGAGGCGCTTGCATGACCCTGGGAGCGAGTGCCTCCTTAAATTTTATACCCTAGCTGGGCTTCTCACTCTCCTCTCAATCCTGCAGTGTACAGATAAAGGAAAAACTCGCATCTAAGACATTTAATAGAGAAATTTAAGATCATCTGGGACAAAGAAAAATTATAAATGCTTTCAAAGGGTAAATTATGAAGGAGTAACAACAGGTTAATATCAAATTTCTCAATAGCAACATTGGACACAAGATAATTTTTTTATATTAAAAGGAAAAGCACTTTAAGCCTAGAGTTTTTATATCCAACCGAATTTTCATTTAACTGCGAAGCCAAAATTTAAAAAATACAGGGAGGAAAGGAAGGCCTCAGATGATTTCCCCAAAAAACAGACCTACTTTGAAAAACTAGAGGAAGAGAACTCAAGTAAGACTAGAAATAAATCAAAGAGGATGTCTGAGATATAAGGAAGAAAATAACAAAAATTTTTGTTTCCTGAAAAAGATAAGGATTAAAGAACATAAAATTAAAAGTATTATACCCAGAAAAACTCAGAACTAAAATTCTATTGTTTAACATATTAATGGAGACCCCGGTGAATACTATAAAAATGAAAAAAGTAGTATAATGATTACAAAGGGGGGAAAAAAAGTAATTGTAGGTGATATAATTACCTGAATAGAAAAACCACAAGAGTCCATCAATTATGAGAATAAGAGTATGGCAAAGTAAACAGACATTGGAAAAATGTATAAAAATAAAAAATCAAGAGCATTTCTCTACAATAGTGTAACTATTGTATATAGTAATAGAAGATATAATAAAAAATAACATATATTCTTAGTAGAAACAAACTATATAGTATGAAGTTTCTAGAAATTAAAAAAGCATTCACAAGATCTCTGTAGAGAAAAATTTTTAATTCTGTTAAAGACCTAAAAGTAGAACTGAATAGACATTTTATGCTCTTGAATAGGATGATAGTATTTTATTATAGTGGTGACTTTTTCCTAAATTAATATATAATGTCACCACAACCCAATCAAAATTCTAGCTGGATATTTTGAGGAATGTCATACATTTCAATGTTTAAATAGAAAAATAAATCCCATAAATAGATCAGCTCTGAAAGGGTAAATAATTGAGACTTTCCATATCAGATATTAATACCAGATAAAAATCCATATAATTAAAATATTTTGGTACTGATCCAAGAACTGAAAATTAACCTAAGTAACATAACAGAGAGCTTGCACACAAACTCATTTATGTATGGAAACTTAACATAAAATTAAGGAGGTCCTATAAGTAAATGGGAAAAGTGCAGATTATTTTATAAATGGTATTCAGAAAAGTGGTTGACTCCATGCTGGAAAATGGAATTGATTCCCTATTTAATAGTGCACACATGGTGGACTCTAAGATTAAAGACCTAATTATGGGAGG